AGAGAGGTACGGGGGGGGCGTCACCTGGCTCTCGGAGAGGTACGGGGGGAGTGGCGGCGGGGGCATCGCCTCGCTCTCGGAGAGGTACGGGGGGGGCATTGCCTGGCTCTCGGAGAGGTACGGGGGGGAGCGGAGGGGGTGTCGCCTCGCTCTCGGAGAAGTACGGGGGGGGTGTAACCTGGCTCTGAGGGCTACGGGGGGGGAGGGGCAGGGGGTGTCGTCGTCTGACTCTCGGAGAGGTGCATATGGTCTTTGCAGCCCAGCACTGCCTCAGTCCATCTCCCTGGACAATGGCTCTTCCCTCTTTAGCCACCCAGCCCAGCCTGGCCCAGCCCAGTGCGGGACAAAGACCTTCCTGTTGTTGCTCCCTCCCATCCATTCCTAGTCCCTGTCCATCCTGAAGGCCTGCTTAGCCCCACGCCCACGCAAGGGTTTAGCAGGTGAGGACAGGATCTTCCTAGTCCAGAGCATCTCCCCATACCCACCCTGGCACCAACGGGGCACTGCCAGGGAGTGCACGCTGGCTGGCCTCACTCAGTGCTCCCATGGTGTATGCACCTCAGGGCCCATGTGGCTGTGACCCGAGAGGCAGTGCCCTATGCCTGAGACCCGCTGCCCAGCAAGAGAGGCATGGGCAGAGCTCCTACCTCTAGCCCAGGTCCTCACTCAATTGACCCCCTACCCCTGTAACCTCTCCCCTTCCTCCCCAGCAAACCCCACATTGCGGTAGGGGAACTGCAGGGGCTCCGTGCTAACCAGCTTGACTCTCCAACCAGGCTCAAGGGAAAGATCCATGAAACAAACCTCACCTATGAAGACTTTCCTACCTCTAAATACATGGGCCCCCTGCAGTACACGATCTGGAAATCGCTCTTCCAGGACATCCATCCGGGTAAGGTTCCCCAGCCCAGGGAGAGCGGCCTGTGCCCTCTGACGTACTATAGGCCTTTCCTGGCATAATGTGGCAGCCGGGGCCTCTGGCGTGATTATCAGAAGTGTTGAGCACCCACTGGCCTGAGGGCGGCGACGCTCAGCCTCCCTGCAAAGCCTGCCGTGTGGGGAGAGTCGCCTTAGCTAGGTAGATACAGCCTGCTGGGCCCAGCCTGTGTGCTGGGGGGATTAAACTGCAGACAGACGGCCCCGGCGACCGCCTCAGGGCATCGTGGTCTGACGCCGGCAGGAATACCCGGCATGTAGGGCCAGATTCTGAACTGGGAGTCGCAGGGCTGCAGGACTCAGCCCGTGCTGGGGGCGAGCAGCAGCAGGCTGTCTGACAGCGGTGCCTGGGATCCAGCGCCTGGCATGTCCGTGCTGCGTCTCTGTCAAAGGGGCTCCGGTTACGTGGTTTGATGTTTCTCCTGTTCTCGGGCTCTGCGGGAGTGCTGGGGGCTTCTCCTTTAGAGACCTGCAAGGGGCAGCCTGGTGAGGGGACAGAACTCTTTGCCTCCAGGTCACTGGTTCAGCCCCCCCGAGCCAGTAGTTGCACGTGGCTGCTCCATGACCCATGCAAAATCCGAATGGGCAGAAGGCTGAGCGCCGAGGCAGCAAAGCGCCCATTGACTGCAGTGGGGGTGCGAGTGCCTTGGGGAGAACACCCAGTTTCTGGGGGGCCCTGAGATCCTGCAGGGACGGGGACCACAGCCTACGCACCAGTCACTGGTGATGCAATCTGCCCCTTGCAAAGCAGCCAAGCTCTGAGTGGGCCATGGGACTGACTTCCCCTCTCACTCCCTCTACTGGCCAGGTTCAAAGGCATTCGTGGGGAATCAGTGCTGGCCATACAGAGCCCCAGCTCCTAGGGGAGCCCCTGAGAACTCTCCATTCCCCTGGGGGTCGTGGGAGCTCGGCTCCTCCGGGCCCAGCTCGGAATCTGCTGCACCAGGGCTTAGCTCATAGCAAGGGGCCCATCGCTCCGTCAAATAGGGGAACAGCCTCCCCCACGTGGGACCTTCCTGCCAGGCACATGGCCTCATTAAAGGAAAGCAGCAGCTGTAGGAGTGATGACATGGGGCCCCCTCCCATCCCCTGCTGTGCTGTGCAGCATTGGGGAGTTCTCCTGCTCCACTCCCTTTCTCCCCCTGCCCCTTTCAATCTGTTCTCCTTTGCTGTTCCTCCCTCCCCCCCGCTGCTGCTGTTCCCCCAGCCAGGGCCATGCATGTCCTAGTGTGCAGCCCAGACACCAGCTCCTGTTCCTGGGAGAAGGGAGAACACATCAGAGGCTGACAAAGGTCCTCTCTGCAGGGCTTCTTCCACTGCTGTGGTAACGGGAGCATGGGGGCCTGCAGTGCAAGGATATGGCCCCAGCTGGAGCTGGCCTGGAGACCAGCTGGGGGAGGCAGGGCCCTGGGGGCAGGCTGGGGAGAGGGTTAATCCAGGGAGGTGGGGGTTAATTCCATTTCTATCTGGGTTTCTTGCCACTGAGCTCCATGCCTGATACAGACATTCACAACTGATGTTTATTAATTAGCCGATCTGTCCTCTGGACATGGAGCTGTTCTGCTGAGCCACGGACCTGTACGAGAGCTTGCTCCAGGCCTGCTGGCCTTTCTTCTCTTGTTTATTCAGGCCTCACCCTCTGTCCCTCCTGGGCGTAAGGTCTGTCAAGTGCAATGGCACTGGGCCAGCTCTGCCATTGCTCCAAACCCATCTGTCTCTGCACTCTGCTCAGCAGCTGTCACGCTCCCTGCAGCCTCCGTGGGGACTAGCTCCTTTGATTCCAAGTGGTGCCCACCCATTGTGACTGTGGGTTTCCCTTTTAGACCAAGTTTTCTCCCCCTGTCCCTCCTCCATCCACAAAATAAGTCAGATTGGCCTCAGAATTGGTAAGTTAGACCTGGGCCATGGTCAAATTTGTCTATACATTTTGAAGTGACTTGGACAAGGACTTCCTGAATTATGACTGTCTAATCATGGAAGCATCCCTCACCATTCCAAAAGCGTGTGTGGGGGGTGGACTTTACCACTCTGCATTAAAACCAAGAGAAAGGAGAGGGATGAAATCACCATGCCTGGCTCCCCTCGCTGAGCTCGACTGCCTGGCACCAGCATCACCTTTCGCTGATGAATGGGAAGTTACCGATGGTGTTAATTAATATCGCTAGGCAGCATCAGCTCTGCCAAGCCCAGCATGGGACCTCAGTGAGCACTGGGGACCTCAGTGAGCACTGGGGACCTGAGCTTCCAGGGAGGAGGCTGTGGGCCTTTCCCCACAGGAACCCCCTCACTGGTGGGGGGCTGGGCAATGGGAACTGCTTGTCCAAAGCTTGTGAGGGAGCCAGTCTCTCTGGATCCTGGGGCCCCCAGCAAGGTGTCCCAGGCATGTACTGCCCCAGCCAGCCTGGAGCTGGCCTTGTACCCTGCCCCGTAGTTCCGAGCAGCGTGGGGCCCCTCTGCCAAACCCCAGGAGGTCTGTTAGATGGAGCAGGCAGGGAGCTCTGGTGCTTCCAGCCGCCCCACCTTCTCCTGCGGCACCTCTGAGCTGCTCTCCAGTGCCCTACTCCCCCTTGCAGCAAGATTCCTGCCCCCTCGGGCCTCCTGGCTCCACTCTCCCCTATTCCCCCGTATCCATAGACCCACCCTCATCAAAGATTCCTTGAGGCCGGGTGGGGGCAAGTGCCGTCACCCTCTATAGCTCGCTGGGGGGATCCCGCTACAGACACCAAGGAAGCTGCTGCTTGTGCTGGGGCATCACACACGGAGGCTACATCTGCACTGGCGCTGGGGTGTAATTTCCAGACGTACCCACACTAGCTTTGATCGAGCTGCAGCCACAGCTGCACAGGCGGGGGAGCGTTAGCCACCCTGGATCTGCACCTAGGGTCTCGTGGGGCGACTGGCCCCTCGTGCCGCTGTGGCTACCTGTCTGTTTTTAGCGTGCTTGCTCAGTCAGAGCTAGCCTGATACATCTCGAGCTGGGAGCCCAGCAGAGCCATGCGCTGCGACACACCTGGTTGATGTGTTTGTTAGCCCACCCCAGAGCAGCTCACCCAGGGCATTGATCTGTGTCTCTAACTCCCACCACTGGGGGAGCTCTCGGGACGGAGGGGGAGGGGGTCCCCCAGAAAGGCCCCAGAGCATCAGCCCCCATCTCCGAGGCCCTGGCGCATTTGTGCATGTGGTCTGCACTCTGATAAGAGCACTCCCTAGCTCTTTGCATCTTCCTCCTCCGAAAGAAAGCCTCAGCGCCAAAGGGATTGCTAAGCAGTGTCACGGGTGTGATTTTAAATGCAGCTGAGTCCCGGGGGCCGGTTAGAGGCTAGCTCTGCGGCCTCTCCCGTGCTCCAGGGTCCCGAGAAGGTCCCTCCAACAGCTTTCCCGGCCTGTGGGGCCAGTCCCTGCATGCAGCACAAGGGCAGATGGGGAGTTACAGGGAGCTGGCTGCCCAGCCACCTGACTGACCCAATCACATGTGCCTCAGCACAGTGCCCTCTGGTGTCCCTGTGGATCATTGCTCAGTGCTGTCTGTGTGAGGGGTAGCTGGGTGGGTGCTTGCAGGCCCCTATTTTGGGGGCATTTACATTCCCTTTACGTAATCAAGTGCTTTGCCTGTAATTGACTAGCCATGTGGAGGTGTGGCTAGCTTCTGAGCCCCTTCCTGTCCCTCCTTTGCTTTCCCAGTGCCAGCAGCCCTCACGCTGGACCCTGTCACAGCTCACCAGCGCCTCATCCTCTCGGATGACTGCACCATCGTGGCCTACGGCAACTTGCACCCGCAGCCGCTGCAGGATTCACCCAAGCGCTTTGACGTGGAGGTGTCGGTGCTGGGCTCAGAGGCCTTCGGCAGCGGCGTGCACTACTGGGAGGTCATCGTCTCGGAGAAGACCCAGTGGATGATCGGGCTGGCGCATGAGGCTGTCACCCGCAAGGGGAGCATTCAGATCCAGCCCAGCCGTGGCTTTTACTGCATCGTCATGCACGACGGCAACCAGTACAGCGCCTGCACCGAGCCCTGGACCCGGCTCAATGTTAAGAGCAAGCTGGAGAAAGTAGGTGTCTTCTTGGACTATGACAAAGGGCTCCTGATCTTCTACAACGCTGATGACATGTCGTGGCTGTACACCTTCCGGGAGAAGTTCCCTGGCAAGCTCTGCTCGTACTTTAGTCCTGGCCAGAGCCACGCGAATGGCAAGAACGTGCAGCCACTCCGCATCAACACCGTCCGGATCTAGGAGGGAGCAGGGAAGGGAGCCTGGAGCCGTAAAGCTCCCTCCTGGCCGGCAGGCTGAGTCAAGAGTCCCTGCTAAGACAGTTCCCACCTACTCCTTCCTGCAGGGCATGGGGAGATTGTCAGGCTCCGGGGCTGTGCTGTTCCTAGCTCGGACCTCCTGGCATTATCCAGGTGTGGGAGGGTGCAGGGCTGGGGCAGGGGGGGTTGTGGCACTGTTGGTATTTCAGTATGCGAGGATGCAGCATTCCTGCCTCCCTGTCTGCGTCAGTTTCCAGACTAACCCAAGGATCCGGGCTGAGTATTGACATACAACTGGCTATCCCTGGCATGATCCCGGCATCGCCATGGCCACTCTGCCAGGATGGATGCAGACTGGACTCTGTGCTGGCATGGAGCAGAGATCAGGTCACCTTGCAGAGCTGCTACTGAACTGCTGTGTGGTATCTCAGCTCACCTGTGAGCTCCCAGCTGGGTTTGCTCCTGGGGACAGAGCATGAACTGTCCTCCACAGGGCTAGTGACCTGGCAGCATCTGCTCTTAGTATGTGTTACATTGGCATTCAGGGACCCAAGGATCATTAATGATCTGGAGGATGGTGTGGGCTGCACCCTCAGCAAGTTTGCAGATGACACTAAACTGGGAGGAGTGGTAGATACACTAGAGGGTAGGGATAGGATACAGAGGGACCTAGACAAATTAGAGGACTGGGCCAAAAGAAATCTGATGAGGTTCAACAAGGACAAGTGCAGAGTCCTGCACTCTAGGACGGAAGAATCCCATGCACCGCTACAGACTAGGGACCGAATGGCTAGGCAGCAGTTCTGCAGAAAAGGACCTAGGGGTTACAGTGAACAAGAAGCGATGTGAGTCGACAGTGTGCCCTTGTTGCCAAGAAGGCTAACGGCATTTTGGGCTGCATAAGTAGGGGCATTGCCAGCAGATCGAGGGACGTGATCATTCCCCTCTATTCGATATTGGTGAGGCCGCATCTGGAGTACTGTGTCCAGTTTTGGGCCCCACACTACAAGAAGAATGTGGAAAAATTGGAAAGAGTCCAGCGGAGGGCAACAAAAATGATCAGGGGGCTGGAGCACATGAGTTTTGAGGAGAGGCTGAGGGAACTGGGATTGTTTAGTCTGCAGAAGAGAAGAATGAGGGGGGATTTGATAGCTGCTTTCAACTACGTGAAAGGGGGTTCCAAAGAGGATGGATCAAGACTGTTCTCAGTGGTGGCAGATGACAGAACAAGGAGCAATGGTCTCAAGTTGCAGTGGGGGGCAGACAGGTGATGGGACCGTGCTCAGCTCAGGGTAGCCTGTCATACGGGCACTGTGAGCGACGTGCTCGTACACTACCCTGGGCAATGGCGTTTTGCCAGGCTCTGCTAGCAGTACAGAGGCAGCCGGAAGGCGGCAGCCTTGGCAGGTACCCCTGCCGTGGGTGGGGCCTGGATCGCCTGAGGAGCATTCAGCCCGAGAGGGTCTCTGCGCAGAGCCACCGTCAGTTCTGGCGCTTTCACGGGCTTCAGCCCCAAACACTGTGTCCTCCAAAGGCCTGTAACAGGAAGCATGATGGGCTGGGCTCCTCGTTAATGAGCTGGGCACCCAAGCGGGGGCAGAAGCTAGAGCACGTGACCCAGGTGGCCAACACAGTCAGCGCGATCAGCTCCTGCATGGCCCGGCAGCCGAGTGGGACTGGAAACACTCCAATGCATACAGGTGGGGACCTTGGTCGGGAATCTGGATCGAGTCAGCTAACAAAAGGCTGAGGCCCAGACTTTCCTAACAAGAGCTTCTGTTTTGGGGGGCCCCTTGGGCCTGATATCTAGGGGCACTGAGCCACCACCACCGGTGCCTACCAACACTAGCTAGAACCTCAGAGAACAGGCCAAAAGGGGCTCACAGCAGGCACCCAAAAGCAGCTGCTAGGACTTAAGCCATAGGCCTCACGTTGCAGTCGGTTAGTGGTAGCACCTCGCCCAGCTGGCGCTAAGCCCGTAGCTGGCCCCAGAGCCAGGGCCGCTGGTCTGCACCCAGAGCAGCAGGGAGGCTAGCTGGGGGATGTCCTGCCAGCGGGAGGCATGGAGCCTGCAGATTTGCCTTAGGGCTGTGGCAAGGGGTTGAAGGACAGAGATCTGGACAGAAGTCAAAGTCGGGCCGTGTCTGTGGAGATCGTCCTAGGGCACCAAGGAGTTACACACAATGGTGGGGAGCAGGTACAAAGCTGAACATTGAGGTAATTCTCTTGAGGCTGCCTGGGGCCCATCTGATGCTGGCCTGACGCCCTTACTCAGGTCAAAGGCTCTGTGCCTTCAGCAGGAGTGTGTTTGTGACAGGCCCTTGGGAATCGGTTCCATAACAGTGAGAACCCTGAGGCAGTGAAATAGACCCCTGAGGAGGCTGATGAGACTTTCCACTCTATAGTCATTGATCTCAAAGCACCTGACAACAGAGCAAGAGCATCACAATCTGCAGTTACAGCTGATTCCTGGTTCTGGGCCCTGCCACCTTCCCCAGACCCAGGCTGGGTGTCCAAGGGAGAAGTCCATAGCTGGCAGTGGATGTCATCAAACCCCACCCCTCCCTGCACCAAGAAACCAGTGGCAGCACAGGGGCCTTGGACTTGATGTGTCAGTGATGTGGTGCCTCTGGGCAATAGCGCCATGGTAGTGTCTGGCAGCCAGGAGGCCCATGGGCAATGGGTGCAGAGACTCTGTGGCAACATGATGGGTAGAGAGGCAGCCCCACACACGTGTGGCTCCAGTCTGGTGTGTGGTGAATTTCACGTGGCAACAGGCCTGCAAAGTCCAGGTTTTGTGAGCACCAAGGAGCCAGTGTCCGCAGGCATTTGGAGAGACAAACAGGGTGTTCCCCACTGGTGTTTCTTGGCTCTGGGGACTCCAGGCTGAACATGTTACTTTGTAAACAAATGAACTTGGGACATGTCAGGGGCTCTGGTCTGAGCAAGGGGGAGCGGCCAGCTGTGCTCTCTGTAAAACTTGGGCAGCAGCCTGGCACCTCGCTGTCTTGGGCACATCTGCTCTGCATTGAGGGGAGAAGGGTGTGGACAGGGATTGCTCTGGTTGTAGGAAGAGCCCGTTCTCTCCTTCCTGGGATCTAGCTGGGACACAGGAGTCACCCACCATAAGGACTCGAGAGCCAGAGGACACAAGATGTTGTGACTGGACTCAGGCCCTGTGAGCTGGATCCCATGCAGTGGTGTTTGCTTCTTGCCCCTTCTGGGGCCATGTCATGTCAGCCACCAGGCTCCCTGGAGACTTTTCTGTTCAGTGAGTGGCCTGGCCTGCTGGCTCACTTGGTGACAGACAGGGGAAGAATGATGCTCCCCCATTTCATGGCTTCCACTGGAGGTAGCTGATGAGCAACACTTCGTCCCACCAGGAGGGCAGAAAGCCCAACTCCAAGGCAGCAGCTGGCCATCCTGGCTGCAGACTCCCCCACCTCCCAGAGAGCTACTCCCCCCTCTGAGTACCCTGCACACAGCCTGGTGGATGTAGGGGAGCAAAACCTAATGTCACTGGTGATACGTGGTGTCTGCCCCATCCTGGCCCAGTTCTTGCTGGGAAAACGGGTCCAGCTTGCAGACCAGGCTGAGGAAACTATTTGGAGGGAGTCGCTGAAACTCAGCCCCATCCCCCTTTGGGGCCGAATCCTGAAAGCTCCTTCTCTGTGTAGGGAGTCCTAAGGGGTGTAGCCCCATAAGGTGACTCATCTGAGCAGGTTCAGCCTCTTGGCAAGGAGGCTGCTGTTGACATCACTGAGAAATCCCGGCGTATGGACAGGAGCTGCAGGGAGCGAGCTGGTGGGGTGGGGGGCAGCGTCCTGGAGCCTGGCAGGATGGAGTGTCGCAGGGTAGTGCACCCACACGCTGCGATCCTGCAAGGCAAGCTCAGTGCCTGGCAGGAGTTGACCCTTCCTGGCTCCACCATCGAGGTGAGTCCAGTGCCTGCTGGGCGCACTTCCACCTTCTGCCTGCGTGCTCTGCCAGCGCTGTGGTTTTTCCTTCTTCAGAAGCTGGTGGATTCTGTATTTATTCCTGGTTCTGTGGCATGTGGTCTTCGACTGCTGCAATAAAGGCAATTTTTAAAAAAAGGAATGGAAACCACTTTCTGCAATCCCGCTGCCCCTGGGGCTCCTGCCTTCCCCTCCTGGCCCCCGTCTCCGTGCAGACGCCCTGGTGGATTGCATGCAAGGACAACAATGCAGCTGGCTTCCATTTGCGTGCTATTCTGCCTTCCATTCAGGGATCTCCCATTGGTTCATAACATTCCTACAGCGCCCCCACGAGGTAGCAGGCATTATACACCGTTCTTGGGCCCGCTTCTGTTCTCGCTGGTGCAGTTCTATTGGCCTGAGGCAAGTGACCGCTCATGAAGAACTAGATATGAGAGCAGATCAGGTCCTTTAGCTCTGTGCCCTACCACGAGATCTCAGCCTCGGTGGAGTCACACACGCTGGATTTTATACCATTGTATCCATGGGTCCTGACCCTCCTCAGTTACAAAATATTACTGTTGGCAACTGTAATGGCCCTCTGGTGGGGAGCGTGGCCTAGTGGTCCTGGCTGCAGCTCCTGCCAGTCAGGGGGATTGTGGGAGGGGAGCCTGGGCCCTCCCACTCCACTGAGCTCTGACCCAGGGCCCTTTGGGCTACTGGCAGTCTGGCAACCCTGGGTCTCTTCCTCTCATCCACCTCTCTGGGGTCCGCTTAGTCCAGGCTTTCCCCTGCTGGGGAAATCCAAACCAAAAGGAGTAAGAGGAGGTCACCCATATCCACTGGCTACTTCCCTCTCCGGGGTGGGTCCTCCCTTCCCGCAGGGCAGGCCCCTCTGGGCAGAGCTTTTAGGCTTCCCTCTGCTCTGCTCTGCTGGAGCTGTAGGCTGCAGATCTGCTCACCTCCAGCTCTGCCACCCACATGAGCTAATTCCCTGTCTTTTCATTCCTCCAGCGGCTGGAGCATTTGCTGCAGATATGGTGGGGCTGGGGTGGCTGAGCCCAAACTAATCCCTTAACCCCTTGTTTCCCAGTGTGGGGTTTGTACACCCCATCACAGCAACAAAGAGCCAGCCAGCCCTTAGGGACAGCCAGACAACCCAAGCTGCATAGGTAAACTGAGGCAATGATGGCCATATTTGTGCCAAGACAGTGACTTGCCCAGAGTCAGTGACAGGGGCCCTGATTCCCTCTCTGCTGCTGTTTCACAAAGGCCTTGGCTACACTCGTGTGAGTGTAGTCGCGCCGGCAGCGCTGCGAGAGCTCTCTCGCAGCGCTGTATGTACTCCACCTCGCCGAGGGGAATAGCTTGCAGCGCTGCGAGGGAGCGTGCAGCGCTGCAGGCTCTGATCACGCTGGCGTGTTACAGCGCTGCACTCGCTCTGCGTGGGGGGGGGGGGGGGCGTTTTCGACACCCCTGAGCGCAGCAAGTTGTGGCGCTGTACAGCGCCAGTGTAGCCAAGCCCTAAATTCCATCCCTGTTAGACGAGGGTGGAGAGAGGAGCTGGATGGAGTCTCCTGGGTATTCTGCATCGTTGGCCTGGCTCCTCCAGGATTACAGACAATGCAGGACTAGCTAAGCGCCCCTCCCCCCGCCACCCCCACCTCTGCTGACAAAATGATTTCTCTTACCAACTCCTCTCCCTAATGGGCGAGCTGCAGCGAGCCAGCTCTGTACCACGCACCA